TTAATAAATACACATGTACACTTAATCCTATCCTCTCTTGCCTTCATGAGGAGTTTATTGCTACAATTACACAATTACACTCACTCTCTCTTTTGTACCATTAGCCTCTCCTTCTTCACCAGATCCTTCCCATCAGCACAAAAATATGCTCTAGAAGCCCCCAGCTTAAAAGACACACACACACACACACACACACACACACACACACACTCCTTGTCTACCTTCAACTACTTTCTCATTTCTCTACTTTCCTTGCTATGCAAACTTCTCCAAGGAGCTGTCTATAATAGGGGTTGGCAAATTATAGCTGGTGGGCCAAATCCAGCTCACCACCTATTTTTGAAATAAAGTTTTACCGGAACACAGCCACACCCACTTGTTTAGGTACTGTCTATGGCTGCTCTCACATTATAAAGCAGAGATGAGTAGCTACAATACAGACCAAATGGCCCACAAAGCCAAAAATATTTAATACTTACAGAAAAAGTGAAGTCTCTGGGGGGAGCAAACGGTTAAGTGCTTGACTACTAGCGGAAAGGTTGGCAGTTCGAACCTACTCAGAGGTGCCCTGGAAGACAGGTCTGGCAATCTGCTTCTGAAAGGTCACAGCCCTGAAAATCCTATGGAGCAGTTCTACTCTGCACACATGGGGTCGCCACGAGTCAGAATCGACTCAATAGGAGCTAACAACAACAGAAAAAGCCTGCAAACTTCTATACTCACTGTCTCTACTTTCTCACTGACCACTGACTTTTTAACCCACTCCAACCTAGTGCCTCTCTAAGCCTTCTAGTGAAATTGCTTACCAAGATCATCAATGATATCATGTTACCAAACCCAAAGGCCACTCACTCTCTGTCCTCACCCATCTGACACAGGTGGCTACTCTCCTTCTTCAAACACTGACCTCTCCTAGCTTCCATGACACACTCTCCCCTGGCTTTCCTCCTGCCTCTCAAATCCCCCCTCTAAACCTCCTTTGCTGGCTCTAACCAAGCTCAGGGCTCAGTCCTAGGCTCCTTCTCTTCTCATTCTACAGTCTCATTATCAAGGATTCTTGATCCTTTTATGTGCATGGACCCTTCTGACATCTGGTGAAGCCTATGGACCCCTTCTCAGAATAATTTTTAAGATATAATATAAAATACAAAGGCTTATACAAGAAACCAATTTTACTGAAATAGTTTTCAAAATATAAAAAAAAAATGTGATATTTTAATACATGTGTTTCTTTATTAATGAATTAAATAACAGGATCTAGTCATGGGTCTAGTGTACTGTACTGTAATTCTGAAGTAGGGATAAGTATAAATGATATTTTGAGACATCAGCAACTGTAATGCAATATGAAAATACCTTGATTTCTACTGGTGACAAAATCACAAATATTAATCCTACTGTGGTTTGAGATCTACATTCAAAATGGAAGGAAATGCTAAATTTCAGTTGTTGTTGGGTGCTATGGAGTCAGCTCCAACCCATATCAACCCTACGTATAACAGAGTGAAACACTACCTGGTCCTGCGCCATCTTCACAATGGTTGTTAGGCTTTAGCCCATTGTTGCAGCCAGTTAGAGGTTAGTAAAAATAAGAAAAAACTTCCCCATACAAGTTCACAGACCCTCCTGAGTTCTACCAATGAATTTCTATGGGGTTCCCAGACCCCTGATTAAGACCTCTGCACTAGAAGGTCTCAGTTTTTCTTATGGTTTCAGAACCAACTATATGTATTTATATTTCCAACCAAGACCTCTCCTCTAAGCTCAGACTGACATCTCTACTTCATATCTCCTACTGCTTGACATCTCTATTTAGATATCTCACAGGTATCTCAAACTTAAAATGTCAAAAAACAAAACAAATCTCCTTATCACCCAACTCCTTTGTGACACCACTCTCCCCACCTCAGTAAATAGACCACCACATCATAAGTTGTTCAGGCAACCTGAGGTCATCCTCCACAGTCTACTCTCAAACTATCAGCAAGTCCTGTGGACTCTTCCTCCAGAACACCAACTCCCTCTGCTTCTTTCCATGCCACCACACTACCTCAAGCCACCAGCATCTCTCCTGAACTGCTGCAAGAGTTTCCTGACCACTCTGCCTGCCTTCACTCTGCCTGCCTTCTCTCAACCATTCACCACACAGCAGCTCATTATATTTTTTAAATAAAAGTCACATTAGGACACAACTCACATAACTTTTCAATGGCTTGCTAATGCTCTCAAGATAAAATGCAAACTCCTTCCAATAGCCTTATACCATTACCATTAGCCTCTCCTTCTTCACCAGATCCTTCCCATCAGCACAAAAATATGCTCTAGAAACCCCCAGCTTAAAAGGTCCTTATAGGTCCTGCAGGATCCGGCTCTGCTTGCCTCGCCAACCTCAACTGGAGTCACTCCAAACACATCGATCTTTCAATTCCCAGACCATACTAACGTCTTTCTTGCTTACGAGCTTCTGAACGCACAAAGTCTCCTATGTTTTAAGTGCTTTGCCCCATGTTCTTGCACCAACTCTATGGCATCCTTCAAGTCTCAGCTTAAACCTTCCCTTCTCAGACAGACCTTTCCCTGACTACTACCTTATTTAATTAGATATCCCTGCTTATTTTCTGATATAGCACCCTCTTTGTTCATAGCATTTTCCTTACTTTATAACTATATACTTATATTTATATATATTCTATTTATTATATGCCTAACTATGTATTTATATGTTTGTTTGCTTACCCTGTTTATTGTCTTCTCCAACAACTAAAAAGGAACACCAATAAGGAAGGGCAGGGGTCATGTCCATTTTACTTACCACTGTGTTTCAGTGCCAAGTAGACAGTAGGTATACTCACTATATATTTGTTGAATGAATATGGTCCTAGCTCTCAAGGTACTTCTATGTGGGGCAATAGGATCCAGAAAGCCCTTCAGAAAACACCTGACTGAGGGAGTCCATGCTTCTACTCAATCTCCTCAAGTAGGGATTCCCCAAAGGAAATGTGCCTCTGGATCTCATTCTGGGGAGAACTATCTACAAAGTTACTAGATATACAAGTATATTTCTACCAGCAGTAGCGTATATGATGAGAGGGACAGTAGCCAAAGAAACGTCTCAGGAAAATAAACATTGTGCCCACTGTGCCTTAGAACAAAAAGCTCATACCAGCAATGAAGGCAAAATGTAATTACAATTCTATGAAACTTTATCAACATTGAGGCCACATGACAGGGCGTGACGGCACTGACGGACTATAAGATCTCTGAGGAAACAGGCAATACTTTGAAATTGGAAAAAAAAAAAAAAAAAAACCCAAAAAACAAAAACAAACCAGCAGTCTCTCTTCTCTACTCTTAAAATTATAATATGAATTTTACACAGTCCACTTTTCCATCTACTTTTCTTTAGAGCAGTGGTTCTCAACCAGCAGTGATTTTGCCCCTCAGAAAACATTAGATAATGTCTGGAGATATTTTTGGTCATCCCACTGGGCAAACACTTGCTACTGGCATCAAGTAGGTAGAGACCAAAGACGTTGCTAAATATCTTACAACGCACACAACAGGCCCCACAATAGAGAATTATCTGGTCAATAGTGCCAAGGTTGAGAAACCCTGCTTTTGAATAGTACATGACCAAAACTATCACACAATATCATTGATGTGGAAGAACATGGTGACAGGAATTGAGGGCTTGCAGGAGAAGAGTGGTAGGGAGGCTTTTTAAAACTATATATATATATCCTTTCGTGCCTTTTGAATTCTGCACTGTATGTATGTTACCTATCCAAAATGCAATAATATGAGATGATGAAAATGTTCTGGAAAGAGATAGTGGTGATGGTCACACAACGTTATCTACTTAATGCCACTGAATTATACACTTAAAAATTCTTAAGATGGCTAATTTTATGTCATGTATATTTTACCAAAATAAAAAAAACTACGCATAAAAGACAATAATAAAAATAACCAAAAAGAAGTCAATGTGACTCATGACTATGATCTCAACAGACTACTTTTAATTCACAGAACACTACCAAAAGGAAGAAAAAGAGGCTAGGACATATGTTGGAAAATGAATCCTGAATTAGGAGTTAGAAAACCTGGGTTTTATAGCTCCAAACTGTGGAACATGAGCATATCACTAAACCTCCCTGAGCTTTGTTTACTCAAATGTGCAATGGGAGGCATAGGGAATTGTGAAGATCAAATGAAATAATGCAGGTAAAATACTCTATAAACTATTAAGAAACATACAAATACATTATAATTATAATTATTTTTCTAAAGGTCCTGTTATTATGAAAGAATAAGCCTAGAAATTATAAATAAAATCCTTTAACATTATTCCCTTCCTAAATGACATTATCATTTCTTTGCCACCAGGGTTTCAGGAGTTGTTGTCTGTTTAGAGTACTGAAATCTTCTATTTATGATGCCTATCCTAAGACGCTAAGCAACTCAAGGGAAAGGTTTTATTAGGATGAACCACACAAACTATAGGCAGTCAATAATTATTTGATGACTTAAATGATTACGAAAAAGGTTAAAAAGAAAAACTTTCTCTTAAATCACTCAATTTGCTGCAAAATAAATAGAAGCGAGGAATTTTGGCTCTGATAAACTTTAACAATAAACCTATGGCTGGCTGCCTTAACAGAAAGATGCCAGTAAAAACATTCATAACTACATAACTTATTTAGTTTAATCACTAGCTCTTGCCCAGCAGCTGGGCCATGTGGGCACGGGCCAAGGAGCTAGGCCCCTTACTCATGGAATCACTGAGTCATGAAAATAACGCCTGTGTATTTGTGTTTTTGAATGGCAAGGACAATTAACATGTAGGAGCTCCAGCAAAAATGATTAATGCTCATGATGTTAAAAAAGTTCTCTAATTTTAGCAATTCTGAGCCAAATAAGTAAGTACAAAAGTAGAACAAGAGCAGAATAAGTGAGGCATCAGCCACTGCAAAAGAAAAAGGAAATTGTAGGCGGCTTACGTGATATACTTGTTATAGAGGATAAAGGCATGTTCAATGTTGCCTTCCTCATAGTAAATGGATGCCATTCGGATAATCTCAACTCCAGAGCGGAAGTACCGGCGGGGTGGAATGTCTTCATTTACCTCCACAGCACTACCCATCTGGGAGAGAGCCCTCACCCGGTCTTCAGGTGGGAGGCTCACATCCCCATGATCCGGCATCAGGACCAAGAAGTTCTAAGGCAGGAAAGAGAAAACAGATAGCATCAACCCCATGACCTCCATCATCCCACCACAGCCTAGCATACAGCATGTGAAACCTCTACCTTAATAAGAAAACCAAAGAAAAATATCATACTCTGTGGTTCATATCAAAAAGCTCTCTTTCCTACAAAAAGTCTGAAAGACTCTCAAGGAAGCCCAAATCACAATGATGAAAGCACTGGCAAACTCAAAAACCCACAACTGCTGTGGCATAATTAGGTGGTACAGCAGTATAACCATAATACGCCACAGAGCGGTTCAGTTCTACACTTCATGTTAGTTATTCCCTGTCAGTAGGTGTCTCTGCCCTGAACACCATAAGCAAAGGGGCAGTATTTTTTTTTTCCCCATTATTTCTGCTTCCAGCTACTCACATTCATCCACCCCAGAACGCAGCAGGGTACACTGAATGAACTCTCGTTGACGGCTGTTAACTGACACAAGTTTGATTATTTTCATTTTATTTGAGAGTAACTGGAATTTTTCTATGGTGTACTTTTTCAAACTTGAGCACACGGTAGGTTACGGGAACTGGTCTGGGAATGAACGTTCATAATCATAACACTGATCACTAAACCACTATTCCAGTCAATCTACAATATCGTTCATCATATCATGGCAAGGAATTCAGATCCTGAAAACAGCAATTTACCCAAATCTATCTTCAAAGACTAAGAACTCTTTGAACAACAAAAGTGTACAAAGATAACTTGGAATGCAAAAAAAAAAGCCTGGAAATTTTCCCTGGGCCCCAAAACTCCAAATTCTGTAATCTTGCTAGATATTGCTGCTGACAGAATCAGCTCCAACTTCTAATCAGATATCATCACTCTCCATCATCTCCAAAATCAATCTGGGTATTTGATACACACTGAATTACAGAACACCCTAACCAGCACGCTCTTGAATATACAAGCTACAGCGGAATTGATCTTGGAATTCAAGGCCCTGTGTCAACCGGCCCTGCTGTCTTCCTATACCTTACTCCTCCCCAACAGAGATCTTTTGCTTCAGCCAGAATTCCGACCTGCTCAGGAATCCTCACATTTCAGTTTCATTTGTCTATCCAGTTTCTACCAACCCCTCCCCCAGAGATAGTCTTCTCCCATATTCGAGTCACACTTCCTTCACAAAGCTTCCCCTCTAAAACACTCTAACAGTACAAAAGCGTGGGCACTACTAGGGATGCAGAGGCAGTGCATCTCCCAGTTTCTTCAGGGGCTCAGAGGGTGAAAGCTGATCTGAAACCTCCCAAGTTGCCTAATTAGTAAACCCAGCCCAGAGCCCATTAAAGCTAACTGAGGCAAAGGCTGCTTGTCGCATCTCAGTGCCTCTCGGGAGGGGATCTTGTGCATCAAGAAAGGAACTCCCTCCCAAGGCCAGCAGGTGGTCCTGGGTACCACAGGGCTGAAAAACACTCCGAGACGCGACATTTGCAATGAAGGGAAGAAGATGGCATAAGGAAATGCGGGAGAAAAACCAGGAGGTGAAAAAAAGTAGCAGGAATGAGCGAGGGAGGGGGACTGTACACCCTCCTGGAGGCGAACCTATCGACAACTGCTTGAGGCGCCTTTCTTGAAGACACTCAAGCCCAGGCTGCCAATCCGGGGCAAAATCATCCAAGGTTTTCGGGTCTTTCGAGTCGGTAGACCGGAAGTGCTGGGCCTGGCTGGTCAGGCGCCAGCCCACAGGGATGGGAGCGATCAAGGGCCTCGCACGCGGCGGCCCGGGCAAGGGGCGCGGGGAGAAGGCTGCAGGCCCCACACTCACGGCGGCCGCTTCTCTTCAGAGTTCGACCTCGCTCAGCGACCCGGCCTCACCACATTCCCAGAACCCTTCCCCACTTTCCCCCTCGGACGACATTCGGAGCTTCCGGAAACGTCATTTCCGGCGCCCGCCCCGCCCACTCACGCTTGTCCGTCAATTACACTCCCAAGGCCTTGGTGGGCAGGGCTAAAACCAGCGGAAAAACCGACCAATGAGGAGAGAGCTGGATGGCGGCCATGTTAGTAAAGGAAAGTGAACAGGGAAGAGGGGAACAAAATACTTAAAGGACTCAATGGCCAAGCTAACTTTTTTTTTTTTTTATTTACACTTTAGAAAGGGGCTTCCAAATAGCCTAGCCGGTCCATCACACTCATCCAAATCCCACATTCAAGAAGGGATTGCTCATCCCAGTATAACTACTTTCTGTTAGTTGCCTTTGAGTCGTTCCCACCCCTTGTGTGCAGAGTAGAACTGCTCCATAGAGTTATCAAGGATATGACCTTTCAGAAGCGGATCACCAGGCTTGTCTTCGAACTGCCAACCTTCTGCTAGTAATAGAGCGCTTAACCATTTGTGCCACCCGGAACCAGTACAACTGCCGACCTGGCAAAATTCATCAGGGTTTCTAAATAGGAGAAGAAAACTTCTGTTTCTTTAGCTTGTTTGTGTTACTTTCTGCACAAAATTGGCAGCCCCAAGTACTAGGCAAAATAACAATAGTAAGATTAACTGTTTTTAAATGTCAGGACGCCAATAAAATGTATTCAGAATGAGAATTTATCAGGGTCGCTGTGCAAAGCAATGCAGACACAAATACCTGTAAGATACTATTCCTCTCCATGAGGCCAGGACAAGGTGGTAATATACAGCAAATGGAGACAGAGTAGCATATTCTGGATGTGGATATGTATATGTATGAATCTGAAAGCAGCTTCTTTCCAAAAAGATCTTCCAAGGCTGTCTTTAAAAAGAAATTGTATATCGCCATTCCGGTTTTATTTGAAAGTTCATGCTTTGGTTAAAAGTTTAACTTACTGTGCAACCATTACCAAGCTATTTTGGGGAAACTTCCTGTTAGTTTGTTAGTGTAATGATGTAACCTATCCTTCAAGCTCTAGCTTAAGACCGTAGCTCAAGTGTTATCTCCTCCACCAAGCCAGTGTCCAGAGCTCTTATTTCTCCCAACTCCTGTTGTGTATCTCTTGGACTTCCCTGAAGTGAAATCAGAGTTCTGTGTGGTTATTGGCTTTTAGACTTATGGCTGAAAGCACTTATTGGATCTTCCCCCCAATCTTCCACCCAAAGCATGAATGTATATGCTAGTGCTAGGGTCTGCTATCAACACTCATGAATCCCCTTCAGAGAACTCGGGGAAGGGCACTCTACTGCGTCTTCAAAACTCTATGTCTCACTGACTCTTTCCTTCAGAATGTAAACATGGGTGGGTTGGACCTAAGGAAACTGATGCACTGGAGGTACTAGACCTAGAGAAGGCATACCTAGAAAAGGGCAGGTGGGGTCCTGACAGTAACCAAGGCAGTACAAAATCCAATCCATTCAACAACTCACTCACTCAGTAAATATTGATTCGGCATCCACTATATGCCAGGTTCTGTTCTAGGTGTTGGGGATACATCATCAAGAAATCCAGCAGGTGGAAACTGTTATTCTGCAAGTTCAGGTAGAAGCAGAGATGGTGGAGTGGGGAGCAGGGGCATCTGCTCCAATTAAGCACAGTCTCCAAAAGTAGCTCTTTTTTGTAATGTTTAACATAACATACAGTTTAAGACTATGATGAAAAGACTTTGAAAAGCCATGACTGAGAAGCACATAAAAGAGGGGTGTGCATAATCACAAACACTGTGACCCCCATAACTACCCACAGGCTGTCCTTGATGTTAAGAAGATGTCAGCTGCTGAGAGTTCTCAAGTTAATGGATAAGAGGATATAGAAAGCAGGATCCAGTCCCTTTCCACCAAGACCAAACTCATTGCATCGATTCTGACTCATAGCAACCCTGTAGGACACAGTAGCACTGCCCTAGAGAGTTTCCAAGGCTGTACTCTTTATGGGAGCAGACTGTCACATCTCTCTCTCCTGGAGCAGTTGGTGAGTTCTAACCACCAACCTTCCATTTAGCAGCCCAGCGCTTAGTCACTGCACCACCAGGGTTCCTTTCAGTCTCTTTAGAGAGGGAATTTGCAAGAGTAAGGCAGAGTTTTTTGCCTTTGGGGTGAGTGGTCAACACTCTTGGCTTTTTTTTTTTTTTTTTTTTTAGTATTTATTTCCTTTTTAAAATAAATGTAATTTGTTTAATTGTAAGAGTCTTAGATTCTAAAGGGGTATCCCAGCCCAGGGGCAAGGACGAGAAAGTAGGAGGGGACAGGAAAGCTGGTAACAGGGAACCCACGGTTGAGAAGGGGAGAGTGTTGACATATTGTGGGGGTTGGTAACCAATGTCACAAAACAATATGCATACTAACTGTTTAATGAGAAGCTAGTTTGTTCTGTAAACCTTCATCTAAAGTACAATAATAAGAAAGAAAGAAATCTGCACCTTACCTTAAACATTTTCTTCCCCGGAGTCTCACACTACCCCATCCCTCTCAAGCTCTAATATTCATGGGGTCTGTATTCAAGTTAAAAAAAAAAAAAGTCTTAGTTTCTTAGTGCTACAGAAATACCACAAGTGGATGGCAGTAAAGAAGAGAAATTCATTTTCTCACTGTTCAGAAGTCTGAATTCAGGGCACCGGCTATTGGGGAACCACTCCTTCTCTGCCAACTCTAGGGGAAGATCTTTGCCACTTTCAGCTTCTACTCCTTGGTTCCCTGGCGGTGATCCACGTGGTGTCTATCTTCTCCCATTTGTGCTTGCTTATCTCTGTGCCTAATCTGCTCTTTTTATATCACAAAAGTGATTAGTCTTAAAACACACCCTGCACCCATAGGGCATCATTAACAGTAACGTAACAACTGTTTTAGAGGAAAAATATCACAAAGTTTAGTAAAGCAAAAAGAAAGCTTTATCAGGCATATATTCAAAAGGCAAAAATGGGAAACAGACAAGCATGCTGCCAGAGCCATGTCTGTTGGAGTCCAAGGAAAATCACAGAACAGAAAAAAGTGGGAAAACGGACAAGCATGCTGCTAGAGCCATGTCTGTCCAAGTCCAAAGAATATTACAGAATGGGCAAGAATGGGAAAATGGACAAGCATGCTGCCACAGCCATGTCTGCCTGAGTCCAAAGACTGTTGCAGAATAGGCAAGAATAGGAAAACGGACAAGCATGCTGCCACAGCCATGTCTGCACGAGTCCAAGGAAACTTACAGAGCCATCAGTATATATTAACATTACAAATGGGCAAAACCATTGAAAGCTTCACCTTTTCACAGACTGGCTAGAAATTGTGATCCTACATTTTGAATTGTCTTTCTTAACAATCATTGGTACAAGTTTCAGTCAGGAGGGTCTTTATTGGTCCAACAGATTTTCTATTTACTAAATGCTAATAGAAAAAGGCAAGAGTAGAAAGTCTTTTGTGTTCTGTTTGATTGGCTTTATGTGAAAAGTTCCCTAAAAGATATTTTCTAAGATTATTTTAGCTATTGTCTTTATACCTCAGGGCCTAGTTGATGTGTCCTTGTGAGCCCTTCTGAGCCCCTGTGAGCCCAGCTCCAGCTGGGTCACATTCTCTATGCTCAAAGACAGGGAATAATAACTCCAATTATTATTTCCTAAATCACAAAGAAAACCCTAATCCCAAATGGAATTATATCCACAGGTATAGGAAGTAGGATCCCAACACATATTTTGAGGAGACATATTCAATACATCACAGCAAGTTTGTATAATTTTTAATAAAGGCTATGTTTAACAGCTGACTTACAAGATTCCTGAAAACTTAACGATTGGCTCTCATAAGCTGGTAGGAACTGGCTCCAGCACACCTCTGCCAGGCTTGCCCTGCTCTGACAGGGCTGCAGGGGCACCTGCCCAGCCATGCCACCAAGATTCAGGGCTCCCTAGCTCAGGTAGAGCATGAGCCACAGTCTGGGGGTCTGCTCTTGGCCACTCCCATCTTAAGACCCCTCCAAATTCCAGGCCAATGATGCAAAATTTCTGAAGAAAACCTTTTCTGGAAGCAAATGGTACTTTGGGAAAAACAGAAATATGTACATTAATTATGTATTTTTCTTGAGAGAATAAAGAGTTCTTTTGTTAAAAAAAAAAAAAAAAGATAGTTCGTTCTTCTCCAGCTCTTTAGATCTTTACGTAAAAGTAATCTTCTAGTCTTGGGATCAAATCTTCTCTACAAGGCAGTTAGAGCTATAAGCAGAAAACCTCTGAGGCTAGATGCCTTACCAACTGAGCAAATATTTATTGAGTCGTGTTCATGTTCACGTATCATGTTCCTGGATCTATGCCAGGTGATGGCCCTAAAACAATGAAAAAGAAAAACCCAATCCCTGTTGCTGGAAGGCCTTCATGGATGAAGGCTTACAGCCAGCAGAAGAAAACTGTTTTAAAAAGATGAGCAAGATTGTAAGCGGATACTCAGTGAGTTCCATGCACTGAGACACAAAACGGTCTATCTTTTTTTTTTTTCCAGATTGGAAGATACTTTATTTGTGAATATATAAAATATACTGGTTTCCATTAGATAGCCAAATATTAAGTAAAAAAAAAAGTGATCTTAATACATCATTGTAAATTTACCATCATATAATCTTTCCAAATAACGTCATTGAACCAATATAAAAATTGTTACC